TTATCTTAATACTTTCAAATAATTAGTTCGTATAGTTTTTCACCCTCCTAAAACGAAATCAGATATCATAAACTTAAATCTACAGTTAATTGTCGCAGAGTTCTATAATTAAAATAAGAATGGAAGCTATAAATTATTTTTAAAGTATTGTGTTTGTAATTACTTGTTTGAAATTAAAGAAAATTATCAAATATTATGAACATGAAGAATATTAAAATTAAAAAATTGAAAATTTGTTACATATATTTTTGATATATTTTGAAATTAATTAAATATTTTTATATACAAATAAAAAAATGAGGTACCATGTCATTGTTCTATTTAAAACTTTTTAAAAAGACAACAGACAATTTTAATTTTTTTATATTTCTGTGTTGAAATACATAAACAAATTTATTTGATTTTTAGTTTGAAATTATTCTTTAAAACTTTTAAAAAAAATGAATCTCTCTCTAAAGATTAAAATCTCAAATCTTTTTCAAGACTGGCACATTTTTCATTTTTTAAAGTGAGATTCTATTTCGAAGAATTTAAAAAAGATTCATAGCCGCTGATGGTATGCGTGCGTGCGTGCGTGCGTGCGTGCGCGGTCGTGTGCGTGTGTGTGCGTGCATGTATGATAAAAATAATATTTCTACAGAAGTCTCTATGAGTATTTTTATACAAAACTGACTCCTGTTCACTTGACTTATCATTACTGTTTTTATCTATCTCAGATCGGAACAGCAGAAACGAAAAAATATCCTATCTGTTTAAAGAAAAGAGGCATGTTAAGTTGAACAGTACAAAGGACCCCACATGTTTCTTATGGATTCTCGATCAAATCTTCTTATATTTTGGGAAATTGTAGTTCCAAGTGTCCTAATTAAAAGTCAATGGGCGCGTTCTCCTAAAATTAATAAGTTTTCGAGATACAATTGTTCAAACTTGGTTAATTTCTATTTTGGATATTGGACGATATAAATAATCTCGATCCCACATGATCCACAGATTTGAAAGAAATATCTAGATGTATCTTATAACATGCGAAATAAGGCTGCCATAATTGCATTTTGCTTCACGATCTCAAGTGTGGCTAAAAATGATAATAAGGAAATTAATGATAAAAATAATAAGTAAAATAATGATAAGTACTATCATCAATAGAGCCCGAATTTTTCCAATGACCATTGTACCGATCCAAGTTTAATAGTAGCACACGTTCCACACGATTCTTCCCACTGTTACTCAACCTGGATAATGCTAAAAGTCGGAAAATGTATGCACACTAACTTTATTCATATGACATTACTCATTGTTTATTTTTAACTACAATTGAGATCGCAAAGCGAAATGTAACTATGACAGTTTTATTTCGTATGTTAAAAGGTTCATTTTTTTTAAGTCTGTAGGATCATGTGGGATCAAGATTGTTTTATATCGCCCAATCCGAAATATAAATTAACCAAGTTTGAACAGTTATATCTCGAAAACTGTTAATTTTAGGAGGTCGCGATTATTGATATTTTCAATCAGGACACCTGGAACTGCAATTTCCCAAAATATGAGAAGATTTGATCGAGAATCAAAATAAGAAACGTGCGGGATCTTTTACCCTTTTTAGAAAAAGATAGAAAAAAGCATTAAGGGTACATACTTTTATTTAAAAAATTAAAAAGTAAAATTAATACAAGAACTTAAATGTCTATAACGGGCGAAGCTAGATATTTAATGTTTAAATAATTCTATGTGAATTATACTATAATAAATGTATATGTACGCATATACAGGGTGTTCAAAAAAGGTTGGGACATCTGTGTTACCGGTTCGAGAGCCTTCGATCTCCTGACACAGTGACAAAGATACTTATTTATTAGCCAGTTCGTGACGGTACAATGGGATCGCCTCGTGTCCTCGCTCGTTGCTCTGCGCGCTCGAACTAACTGTGTGATCACGCAGCCGAATTGAGGAGCTAGCGAATCCACATCGATTTCCGATAACTATTGGTCGCCGCGATCAGCATAGAAACAAGCGGCGCATGCGGATCGAGGCAACAATAATTCGTTACAGTTTTTCATACCTATTTTTCGACATTCGCACGCGGAAATACACAAATGCGGATTCCGATGTCAAGATCGCTCGAAAGTCGAAACAATATACAATACAATGTGTCATACGATTTAAAGTCTCACACATAAATAATCTAAAGTAATTTTGAACAACTTGAATATCTCGGAAAATATAAGTTTTACAGAAAAATGTTTCAGACAAAAGTTGTATGGTTAAAAAAAATCTATTACTGATCTTATCAGTATGACCTTGGGTGACGTCACCAAGCTTAGGTCTAGGTTACATCGATTTTTTTAAATGAAACATTCTACTTTCCAGATTCTAATAACTGGTGTAACTCAAGAGCTTTTCAAAACATTACAATAAAGTTATTTTTCATAAAGTACTTTTCGAGTAATAAGGCTTAAAATTTACAATACCACTGGCATTAGCATTACGCAAGATATCCGACTGACGGCTAAAACCTCTTAAATGTGAAATCGTTGTTCAGGATCATGTCCTGAATAATATTTGTTAAGATCAAGGTCATACTGGAGATAATTTCTCTTATTTCTATTTTTACTTAAAAATGAATTTTCAATGCAAAAATGAAAATAAGTGAAACAATCTTCAATTTTAATTTTAGGTTTATTGTTCCCTTAAGATATAGTAATACACATTTGATCGTGTTCCAATGTGCTTTTCCAGGTTTTTCCGCAAACGAACCTAATATCGATATTACCGAACTTAAATCGGGCGTGACTTGATACGCGTATATTAGATTTCCTAATGCTTCTTTATACGGAATTTTCAACCGCATTTGATTCGACTTTTTCACTCGATTTCACATTCTTACTAAGCTGTTGATTGATGTCCCGTTTTCACAGGTTTGCAGTCTTCCATGTTGAACTTCCTTAAAATTTCTTCGATGTAGTCCTTTTGATTCAGCGTTATTTCTTCTTGTTTCGTTGAATATTGACTCAAGATCCTAGACACTGAATCTAAGTTTCTCATTTTGAATTTTTTCTCTAGTTTATTTATGATAGAATCTTTCAAAGTTTTGTTATTTGAGAATACGAGCAGATCGTCCACATATGTGATTAGATAGATGATGTTTCCTTTTTCTCCTTTTAGTACATACATGCTCCAATTCACCTTCGAATGCTTGAATCTTAATTCTTGTAAAGTTTGATTCAGTTTCCGATTCCAAGCAAAGGAACTCCTTGTTTCAATGCATACAATGCCTTCCTTAACCTGCAAACTTTGTTTTTATTTTCTTTTTTTACAGTTCCTTCTGGTAGCTCCATATAAATCTCTTCTTCTAGTTCACCATTAAGGAATGCCATTATCACGTAATGATCAATGTCGTAGTTCTTGCTAACAAACATGCATCTTGAAGTGTTGAATCTGATTACCAGGCAAAAAGTTTCGTGATAGTCTATGCCCCGCACCGTTTCTATCCCTTGACAATCAGTCTAGCCTTGAACCGTTGAGATCCGGCTTGAGGATGCTATGCTTTATCTTGAAGATCCAACGTGTTTTCAAAATTTTCTTGCTTGTTGGCGGAGAACACAATTCCCAGGTTTTATTTCTTGTTAGTGTGTCCAGTTCTTTCTGCATGGCTTTTACGCCGTTCTTCACGGTAAATGCGATACCTGTAAGTACTTCCTTTACACATGAAGGGTCTTATTTCCATCGTTCATGCGTCACCTTGAAAGTGATGAAATTAAGCCATTGCCTTGGCTTTGGAAGATCTGTACGTCGCAGAGCGGCTTGTCTGTCGTTTGCAATATTAGTTGGATCATCGCTATCACGTGTTCCTTCTTCATCAGGGATTTCATAGCCGTCCACTAAACTGCTGTCTCTTATTTCGGCCCCTGCTGAATTTGCTGCATCTGTTGTATCTCTTGTGCTTCCTGTGCAATTTCCTGGACTCGTGCCCCATCTCCAATATCTAGATCTTCATCTTCAAAGTCTTCCGCTAAAAGGATATATCATTAACTTGTTTTCTTCGCCTTCAATGTCGATCTGTTTTCTCGGATATCTTTAGAAGATGATGTCCTTGCTCTTAAAGATTTTTTCTGTCTTTTCATTGTATAGTCGATAACCTTTTGTGTGCTTCAAATATCCTAAGAACAAGCAGGATCTCGATTTTTCATCCCACTTGTGACGTAATTTTTTGGGAACGTATGCAAAAGCCCTACAACCAAAAACTCTTAGACAATTAATTTTGGTTTCTCACCTGACTAAATTTCGTATGGCGTTTTGCCAAAAAGCCTCTTCGCTGGCGAACGATTGATGAGATATACAATCGTCGCGCTTGCTTTTGCTCAGAACTTTTTCGGAAGATTTCAATAAGTAGCGTGCCTTTTCCTTCACAGTGCAGTTGCTTCGCTCCATCAATCCATTTTGCTGTGGAGTGTAGGGGATCGTTAACTGATGTATCTCTTCCTCTCGGAGAAATTCCTTAAATAGTCCACTCACATATTCTTGTCCGTTGTCCGTATGCAATGCCCGGATCCGATGACCGCTACGTCTTTTAATATAGGCCTTGTACGTTTTAAATGCATCTAAAACTTCGTACTTGTTTTTTAAGAAATAGATACTTAGTTTTCGTGAAAAATCGTCAATAAACAAGGTAAAATATTTTGCTTCTCCAAGTAAGGCCTCTATTGGCCCGCACAAATCCGAGTGGATGAGTTCCAGCGGTTTAGACGCTCTCTGGTTATTCCTTGTCACCGGTTGTTTTGTCTGTTTTCTCTTGAGGCAAATGTCATACGGTTGCTTTTCTGGTTCATCAAAATTAAGGTCACGTGCGTGTCTGTCTTTTAAAAGTTTCATGCCATTTCTATTTAGATAGTCTAACCTCTTATGATATGCTACACACCACTATCGTTTTTCTTGCAACTGTACGCTGCATTCATCAGTTGCACTAATCAGTAAATATTGTTTATTGCATTTGCCATTGCAATGATAGTCCCACTAGTGTTATTACACAGTTACGTTTGCTGAAAGTTACATAATCTCTCTCGGTTATCTTTGACACCGAAAGTAAATTTACACTTAGCTCCGGGACATAATATACATCACGTATCACAATTTTGCTAACTTTGTCTTTTACTTTTTGTGGATATCTTTATAGTTCCCTTTCCTTCGACTCGCAATCTTCTGTTATCCGCGACAGTCTAATGCCTTAGGCATTAATGAACTGAATGCCTTCTTGTCTGGCATGATGTGCATCGACGCCGCGGAATCAACTATCCATTGTTGATTGTTTGTTTGTTCAACACCACTTTAGTATTCGAATCAGTCTTTTTCTTTTCACGATCAAACTGTTTCTTATCTTTATTTTCTTTAGTCTTTTGTCTCTGCTATCCTTCTTCTTGCTTCTGCACTCGTAGACACATGTCCGAACCTGTCGCAGTTCCAGCACTTTACATTTTTTTGTGGCGAAATCTTTTTGATCTTTCATCTTGACGGACCTAGAAAGGTAGATATTTAGGCACAGAACTCTCTTTCTACTTCTATTGGTCGAATTATATTTCAGGAGAAGGAGGACAGTAGTGTATTCTTTAAAGACAGGAACCATCACAGAAGTATTGACAGTACGCTAATTCTAAATTTATATTATTAATTATTACATACAAAATAAAATTTGAAATATGATTTCTACGTGTATTTTGTGCAAAAATAACATACTGAGTACAGATGTATCAATTTAACGCCTCAGGGCCCTTAATTACATGATTCACTATTATCCAAGTATCGCTCTATCTCTTTCTAGGCTTGCCAAGATGGTTTCGATACTAATGCTCTTTCCAATACTATATATTGTTTATAGTCATCGACATTATACTATATTAATCATTATATTGTATTTTAATCTTCGTAACTATTTTTACACAGAAATCTACAGATAAGTGCAAAAACTAAATTCTGGAACAATAATACAGCGTCGAAATCGTGAAATGTTAAAAAAATATCCGAGTAAAAACTGTCAAAGTCGAAGAAAAAAAATCATTATTTCCCGAGTTTTATCCTAAAAAATTCTAAGATTTTTCCATTTACATCTACATATATATATAAATTATGCATATTAATTATGCAACCAGAAATGACATTAGTTGTATTTACAGCTATAATAAAATATCAAATTAGTAATACATAGATATAAATATGATTTAATTTTTGCCCAAAACAAGAGGATAGTTTTTTTGATACCTTTAATTTATAATCTATTTTATCAATTGTAAATATTGTTTTATTGAAAAATATTCTATTCAAAATATGATTTGATTAGAATTTTTATTGTTTTTTGCTTTTGATGTTATAATTTGAGGTAGTAGTGATGAGTTAACAGGAGGATCGATTCATTATATTTACATAAAGTTGTCAAAAAATTATTATAAATAATATTTATAGTTGATCAAAATGATTTACAAAAATTAATTTGTGATATTAGATAAATAAATATTTTTTTAGATTTTCATTACTTTTGTCGTTCATTAATATTCGAACATTTAATGATTACAGATATGAAGAAGTTCACGTTCCTGCTCTAAAACCGAAACCATTTGCAGATAATGAAAAACTGCATCCAATTGAGCAATTACCTAAATATGTGCAACCTGCTTTTGATGGTTTCAAGACGCTGAATCGTATACAAAGTCGTTTATATCAGACGGCATTGGAGAGCGATGAAAATCTACTCCTGTGTGCTCCAACAGGAGCTGGTAAAACCAATGTAGCTTTGCTGTGCATGATGCGAGAAATTGGAAGACACATAAATGCTGATGGTACAATCAATGCAGATGAATTCAAAGTAATTTATGTTGCTCCGATGCGTTCGCTGGTGCAAGAAATGGTCGGCAATTTCCGCAAGCGATTGTCAACATATAATCTGACTGTTTCCGAATTAACGGGTGATCATCAATTAACACGAGAACAAATTGCTGCTACTCAAGTAATAGTATGTACCCCGGAAAAGTGGGATATTATAACAAGAAAGGGTGGTGAAAAAACTTTTACATCATTAGTACGATTGATTATTATCGACGAGATTCACTTATTGCATGACGAAAGAGGTCCTGTTTTGGAAGCACTGGTCGCAAGGACGATACGAAACATCGAAACTACTCAAGAAGATGTGCGTCTTGTTGGTTTATCGGCTACATTACCCAATTATCAAGATGTTGCAGCATTTTTGCGCATTAAACCGGAGACAGGACTATTCTATTTTGACAATAGTTTCCGGCCTGTAGCTTTAGAACAGCAGTATATCGGCGTTACGGAGAAGAAAGCATTGAAGCGTTTCCAAGTAATGAATGAGATCGTCTATGAAAAGACTATGGAACACGCTGGCAGGAATCAAGTACTGATATTTGTGCACTCACGTAAAGAAACCGGAAAAACAGCACGTGCTATTCGAGACATGTGCCTGGAGAAAGATACTTTAGGTCAATTTCTTAGGGAAGGTTCCGCGTCGATGGAGGTTTTGAGAACAGAAGCAGAGCAAGTAAAAAATCAAGAACTTAAAGATCTGCTACCATATGGTTTTGCGATTCATCACGCCGGTATGACTCGTGTGGATCGTACGCTAGTGGAGGATCTCTTCGCCGATAGACACATACAAGTTCTCGTATCTACAGCGACTTTAGCTTGGGGTGTTAATTTGCCGGCTCATACAGTTATTATCAAGGGTACTCAGGTGTATAATCCGGAGAAAGGTAGATGGGTAGAGCTGGGCGCTTTAGACGTACTGCAAATGTTAGGACGAGCCGGTCGACCGCAGTACGATACTAAAGGCGAGGGTATCCTTATCACAAATCATAGCGAGCTGCAATATTATCTGTCGCTTTTAAATCAGCAATTACCCATTGAATCGCAATTAATCAGTAAGATGTCCGATATGTTGAATGCAGAAGTAGTGCTAGGAACGATCCAGAATATCAGAGATGCGGTTACCTGGCTTGGCTATACTTATCTTTACATTAGAATGCTTCGTTGTCCCAATCTATACGGGATAAGTCATGACAAATTGAAACAAGATCCTTTATTAGAGCTCCATAGAGCTGATCTAATTCATTCAGCTGCAGTCGGATTGGATCGTAGTGGCTTAATTAAGTACGATCGCAAATCTGGCAATTTTCAGGCGACCGAATTGGGTAGAATAGCATCTCATTATTATTGCACTCACGAAACGATGTCTACGTATAATCAGTTGCTGAAGCGCACGTTGAGCGAGATAGAATTGTTCCGGGTGTTTTCACTGTCGAGTGAGTTCAAAAATATAAATGTCAGGGAAGAAGAAAAACTAGAGCTGCAAAAGCTGATGGAAAGAGTGCCAATACCGGTGAAAGAGAGCATCGAGGAACCAAGCGCGAAAGTCAATGTGCTATTGCAAGCATACATCTCGCAATTGAAACTTGAAGGATTCGCTCTTATGTCTGATATGGTATTTGTGACGCAATCTGCCTCACGTCTCATGAGAGCTATCTTTGAGATAGTTCTGTTCCGTGGGTGGGCACAATTAGCAGACAAATGCCTATCTATCTGTAAGATGATCGATCGCAGGATGTGGCAATCAATGTCGCCACTCAGACAATTCCGTAAGATGCCGGAAGAGATTGTGAAGAAGATCGAGAAGAAAAACTTTCCATGGGAGAGACTGTACGATCTGGGGCCCAATGAAATTGGCGAATTGATCCGCGTGCCGAAATTAGGCAAAACCATTCACAAATACGTCCATCAATTTCCAAAGCTAGGCTTGTCCACGCATATCCAGCCGATTACGCGTTCCACTCTAAGAGTTGTGCTGACTATCACACCGGATTTCCAATGGGATGAGAAAGTTCATGGTATGTCGGAAGCGTTTTGGATCTTAGTCGAAGACGTAGATTCGGAGGTAATTTTGCATCACGAATATTTCTTATTGAAGGCCAAATACGCAGCTGATGAACATGTAATTAAATTCTTTGTGCCAGTCTTTGAGCCTTTGCCGCCACAATACTTTTTACGCGTTGTATCCGATCGGTGGATTGGGGCGGAGACACAATTGCCTGTAAGCTTTCGACATCTGATATTGCCTGAAAAGAATCTTCCGCCTACGGAATTACTGGATTTGCAGGCGCTGCCGATAACAGCGTTGCGAAATGCTAAATTTGAAAATATCTATTCTGCTTTTCCACAGTTCAATCCAATTCAGACGCAAGTGTTTAATGCGATTTATAATTCCGACGATAATGTATTTGTTGGAGCACCCACAGGTTCAGGAAAAACAACCATTGCGGAATTTGCAGTGCTAAGGTTATTGACGCAGAATCCGGAAGGACGTTGTGTATATATGGTTAGCAAAGAGGCTTTAGCTGAATTAGTCTATGCTGATTGGGCAGCAAAATTTGGTCAACAGTTGGGAAGAAAGGTTGTCCTACTGAGCGGCGAAACAGGAACGGATTTGAAGCTACTTGCTAAAGGACAGATCATTATCACCACGGCGGATAAATGGGACGTTTTATCACGTAGATGGAAACAACGGAAAAATGTCCAAAACATCCAGCTGTTTATCGTGGATGAATTGCAGTTGATTGGTGGTGAAGAAGGCCCTGTGCTAGAAGTTGCATGTTCGCGAGCACGTTACATCTCTTCGCAGCTTGACAAACCTACTAGAATAATAGCATTATCGGCTTCATTGGCTGATGCCAAAGACGCCGCACAGTGGTTGGGTGCACCGGCAGCTGCAACCTTTAATTTTCACCCTACTGTGCGACCGGTACCTTTGGAGTTGCACGTGCAAGGTATAAATGTCACCCATAACGCATCAAGATTAGCTGCCATGGCAAAACCAGTATATAACGCAATTCTTCGACACGCTGCACATAAACCGGTGATCGTATTTGTACCAACTCGTCGACAAGCGAGATTAACAGCCATCGACTTGCTGACATTCACGGCGGCTGAAGGTCAACCCTCGAGATTCTTTCACGCGGAAGAGGCTGACATTAAACCATTTCTCGATCGAATGAGTGACAAAACGCTGAAGGAAACTTTGTCGCAAGGTGTAGCTTATCTTCACGAGGGTTTATCGACCGACGATCGTCGTTTAGTTGAGCAATTATTTGACAGTGGAGCCATCCAAGTTGCGGTTGCCACGAGGGATCTCTGTTGGGGTTTATCTATCAGCTCCCACCTTGTCGTAGTCATGGATACACAGTGCTATAATGGCAAGACACATGCCTACGAGGATTATCCGATCACAGACGTTCTGCAGATGGTAGCGCGAGCTAATCGTCCGTTAGAAGATGAGGATGCCAAATGCGTACTATTGTGTCAAAGCTCAAAAAAAGATTTTTTTAAGAAGTTTTTGAATGAACCATTACCAGTAGAGAGTCACTTGGATCGCCGGTTGCATGATCACTTCAACGCGGAGATTGTGACGAAGACGATCGAGAACAAACAAGACGCGGTCGATTACCTCACGTGGACTTTTCTGTATCGACGACTCACTCAAAATCCTAATTACTATGGCCTGCAAGGTGTCACACATCGGCACCTCTCAGATCATCTATCCGAGTTGGTCGAGAGCACGTTAACTGATTTAGAACAAGCTAAATGTGTCGCCGTGGAAGACGAAATGGATACCTTGCCTCTTAACCTCGGAATGATTGCTGCCTATTACTATATCAATTACGCTACTATTGAATTATTCAGTCTGTCTCTTAATAACAAGACGAAGATCAGAGGTTTGCTAGAAATTATTTCAGCGGCTGCTGAGTATGAGAGCGTGCCAGTGCGACAAAGAGAAGAAAATTTACTAAGAAGTTTGGCTGCACGTTTACCTCATGCTCCACAGGCTGCTAGAATGGCCGATCCTCATGTGAAGGCGCAACTTCTTCTGCAAGCTCATTTATCGAGGATACAGTTAGGCCCAGAATTACAAAAGGATACTGAATTGGTATTGAGCAAGGCCGTAAGACTGATACAAGCTTGCGTCGATGTCTTAAGTTCCTCTGGATGGTTAGCACCTGCCGTTGCCGCTATGGAACTTGCGCAGATGGTGACGCAAGCGATGTGGTCCAAAGATTCTTATTTGAAACAACTGCCGCATTTTACAGCAGAGACCATCAAGCGCTGCACCGACAAGGGCGTGGAAACTGTATTTGACGTCATGGAACTTGAAGATGACGATCGAAATCGGCTATTACAGTTAACGGATGCGCAGATGGCAGACGTGGCCAAATTCTGCAACCGATATCCTAATATTGAGATGTCGTATGAAGTACAGGAGAAAGACAAATTGCACAGTGGCGGCACAGTAAATGTGATCGTACAACTGGAACGGGAAGACGAAGTAATTGGGCCGGTAGTCGCGCCGTTTTTCCCGCAAAAACGTGAGGAAGGTTGGTGGGTAGTGATTGGCGACCCGAAGAGCAACTCCTTGCTCTCTATCAAACGTCTGACGTTACAACAGAAGGCAAAAATCAAGTTGGATTTTGTCGCTCCTGCACCCGGTCAGCATTCCTACACTTTGTACTTTATGAGTGATGCTTATCTTGGTTGCGATCAAGAATACAAGTTCATCATCAACGTCGGAGAATACGAATCAGATGCTAGTTCCGGTTCAGATTCTGATTGAAATCATTAATAACTAATAAATAAACTTAATATGCTATATAGTATATACTATTTTTTTGTACCATATGTAGGTATGTCAAAAGTATTACGATATCATTCATACAATATTTTTTTTATTTATTAACAGTATCAGAGTAATCTGTACTAGTAGAAATTATAATTTCCTTTATTGTACAAATTCAATTTCAAATATTTTAATTGTCTTTCAATTGTTCTTATTCTAACAGCACATATGTGAAATAAAAAAATTGTACGCCTTATTTTTTCTTATTTTTTGTGGTCCAATGGATCAATGAAAAGAGGAATGGCAAGGAAAAGGAGAGGGAGGAAGAGAGAATTATACAACGTTATAATAAAGATATAACTTATTGTTATTAATAATCTCTTTGATACGGTTACAAGTTCTCTTTATTTTCGCAAATTCGTTTTTACAACGACCGACCGCGCATACCGCGCCCTTTTCCTTCTTTTGCATATGTCGCATAGTGGGATGAATTCCGAATGTAGGTAGACAAAACCCTTGAAAAAAAAATTGTCAAAGAAGTTACAAAACCGCATATATACACATCTCATACTTCTATTGAAAAGATCTGCACAGCGTATGACAGTCGAAGCACATATTATATCAAAATTTGAACTGACGCGATTCCTTGTGCAGCTGTTTGTAAATTAAATTCTAGCGCCTAAATAAAACAGCATCTAAATAAAGCAAATCCCGTAGTTGTCGTATTGGTATATTTTTTTTCTTCTAGGTAAATGTGTATTTTGACACCATATTTTACTTTTATTAAAGTTTAATTTTTCACCGTAAAAAATGACGATTTCTATAAATGTTTGTCATGATAGATATGTATTTCAGGATATTAAAGCATAGATAAAAAAAAGCGCCGATAAAAAAATCGACTTTTACCAAACTTTTAAACATGAATTTCTATTCTTGGTGATGTAAATATAAAGCCACAAAAAATCGAATTTTAATTTTTTTTTAGTTTTCTTGTTATTTCAAGATCAATCCTTATAAAGAAATACACGGGAAATGTTCCCCACGGGAAATCTCCCCTTTCCCGATTTTGATGAGCTTTTAATATTTTGTTCTATAGATAAAAATAAAAGGTACATATTTTTTTTATATTGGCTGAGTCGCACGTTAAAGGGGTGGAAACTTCTCTTGAAAAGAATCGTTTTTTTTTCTTTCTAAGTGAATATCGTTGAAACTATAAGAGATAGATTTTAAAATTTCAGAGATTAAAATTGTCCACAATGAAAATTAAATGACTTTAAGACTAATTTATAACAATAATAAAAAAATTTGTTAAATATTTATTTATTGTATACTTTCACTTACATCTTTTATTTTCAAAAATTTTAAAATTTTTATATGATCAAAATGTATTAAAATCATTTTCGAAAAGTTATTTTTCAGATATGAATGTCTCTACATATCCATGTGTATTCGTCTCTTAGCTGCGTGAGATAGCATTAAAGACAAATACAACACAGTTTGTCACAGTGCAGTATCAGTATAACAGTGATTATTGAAATAAGTTTTTAAATAACAACAACAACAATAATAACAACAACAACAACAACAACGGTAGTGATTTTGTTGAACTGCTAAAATTAGTCAAATACTTTTTATGATATAACATATAGAAGAATATACAAAATATTTTAGAGAATTAAAAACAAAGAATGAATAAAGAAATTATTACTTTATAAAATTGTATTTATTTTTCATTTTTATTGTATAGCAGCTAATTTTCATCTTCACTGTTGGCATGAATAATATATTAATAAGACATTGCGTCTTATACAGGGTGTCCCATTTTAATGTCCTACCTCCAAATAATTTTTTTATTTTTGATCTTAGAAAAAAATATTTCAGACAAAAGTTGTATGGCTTTGAGGAGGACATAAGATGGTGTCATTAGTTTGATTTTGAATAGTTGCTTGAAGGTCACATAAAGGTTCCTTCAATTTCTTGAATGAAGCCCCCTACTTTTTATTGCATATTTTTGTTAATAGATCATCTTGAGAGTTTTCCAAAACACTATAATTAAGTTCATTTTCATTAAGTACTTTTCGAGTTACAAGGCTTACAAGTTACAGCAGCGCCGGTATTATCCAAGGTTTCATTTTTGCATTAAAAATTACATTCCTACGTAAAAATAAAAATAAGAAGTACAACCTCCAATGGTTTAGATCTTGACAAGTGTTATTTAGGTCATGATCCTAAACAACATTCAAAAGGTTTTAGCCGTCGGTCGGACACCTTGGGTAATGCTAATGCCGGCTGAATTAATCTTCATGTGACCTTCAAGCAACTATTTAAGGTCAAACTAATGACACTATCTTATGTTCTCCTCAAAGCCATACAACTTTTGTCTGAAATATTTTTTTCTAAAATAAAAAATAAAGTTATTTGGAATGAGACATTAAAATGCGATGCCATAATATGTATGTTTACACCGGGTGTTCAAAATAAAGCATTACAAATTTTTATTTCTGAAACGGCATTATTGAGAAAAATTGTTTAGACAAAAGTTAGGATTGAAAAAGGTTTATTTATTGATCTTATCAGTTCGGCCTTGGCAAGGTCACATTGATTTTTTAAAATGGAACATCTTATCTTTGTTTTCAGAATGTAAAGGGTGTCCCAAAATTAACGCAAGATTTGAATTAAATAGAAAACACAGTTTTTAGTCTTTTGATTATTATTTTTTTACTGAATCATAAAGTACATAGGATAGGGTTATTTGTGGAATAACACATCGGGCAAATGGCCTCCACGGCTTTGCATGCACATACGCACTCGTTTGTCGAAATTTTCCATGACCATTTTGCATAAATGTGGCTGAATTTCGTTGATGCAGCGTTGAATCTCCTCCTTTAATGCACGGGTGGTTGTGGGCTTGTTGACATAGACCTGTGATTTCAAATAACCCCATAAAAAGAAATCTAATGATGTTAAATCACACGATCTAGGGGGCAATTTTGGCGATTAACAAAGCCATCAAGGTGAAAATGTGCTTCATCGCTTAGGATGATTTTGCTCGAAAAATCAGCATCCATTTGTTGATGATTCAATAATCCATTCAACGAACTCATTTTCATTAACCCTAAACTGTCAGCTGTTAAATTGTTTTTTTTTGGTTGCCAACACTTTACTGCACAAATGGTGGCAAATTCAAATCTTGCGTTAATTTTGGGACACCCTTTAATAGCTGATCGAGAACTTTCCAAAAAGTTATATAATATTTATTCATTAAGTACTTTTTGAATTATAATGCTTGAAAGTTACAGTACCGCCGCAGTGTTACGTCAAAATAAATTTTTAGTGCACAAATGAAAATAAGAGGAATAATCTGCAATGTCCTTGATCTTGACAAATATTAGTTATCCAGGATATGATTCTGAATTACATTCAAAAAGCCGTCGGTTGGACATCTTAGGTAATGCTAATGCCGATGGTACTGTAACTTTCAATCGTAACTCAAAAAATACTCAATAAAAAATAACTTTATTATAGTATTTTGGAAAGCACTTGATATCGGTTATTAAATTTTAGAATCAAAAGTAGGATATTCCACTTTAAAAAATTGATGTGACTTTGTTCTGACCGTGGTGGCGCCATCCATTGTCAAACTGATAAGATCAGTAAATAGATATTTTTGAACCCTACAACTTTCGTCTGACCAATTTTTCTCAATAATGTATTTCCGAGATAAATATTGTAACGCTTTATTTTGAACATTCGGTATATTTAGGATGTCCCAAAAAGGTTGAGACATCGGAATAGCTCGGAAAATATAAGTTTTATGTTTTAAGAAAAGTATTTTAGACAAAAGTTATAGGGTTTGGAACGATCTATTTACTGGTCTTATCAGTTTGTGATCTGGGGTGGTATCGCTAAGGTCAGGTCAAAGTCACATCGATTTTTTTAAATAGCACACGCTATTATTGATTCCAGAATCTAATAGCTGGTGTCAAGAGCTTTTCAAAACATTACTAATGCGGTTTATAACAAATTGAACGCTTCAAACCCTGTTGCGCCTCTTGCATATGGTCTTCCAAAAATACATAAGATAGGTTATCCACTTCGTATTATAATTTCTTAATTTAACAGATTGAAAGACTCTTTCTATACAAAATAAATAACAATAAATAAAGGGTAAGAGTCAATAACAATAAACAAAGTAAGAGTCAAACACATTTTTTAAATTGTCACACAATTAAAAAGAATAAATTACAAACAGAGAAAAGTAAAATTGAAAAAATATAATAAAATAAAAACTCAATTTAAATATAAATAAATTACAAGTTTCGGCTACCGGATGGAGCCCTCTTTAGACATTAACTTATCATAAAAATCGCTGTACGAAATTAATTATCGGAAATGTTCGCATATTCACATTAATTTCAGTTTGAGTGAGTCTTGAGTCTAGTACGTTGAGTCTCGTAGAACTCGACATTATTCATATACGATTGAACAGTCAAATGTGTTTCATATCTCTTGAAAAAAGTTCTAGTTGATAAAAAAGATAAAAAAAAGTTTTTTTACGAAAAAATAAACACAATTAAAATAACATATCGGAATTCTAACAAGTAATTAAAACTTACGGAGACGGTATCCTTGATGTCGTTGAATGGATATTTTATTTTACCACAGATATGTAGATGACATTTGTACTGCAGTTTCTCCCTCAAAAATTGATATTTTTTACAATGTTTTAATTCATTTTATCCAGGTCTTCAATTTACTATAGAAATAGGGGGAGAAAAATTAGATTTTTTGGATACTACAGTATCTATTAGTAATAATCGATTTGTTTTTGATTGGTACCGCAAACCTACTCTTTCTCAGGGAGATTTTTAAATTTCCGCTCAAATCATCCAATTGCACAAAAGAAAGGTACAATTTTTTCGCTAGTTGACAGAGCTTTTTTACTTTCTGACTTTATGTTTCACACAAAAATTTTGACCTTTATTATTAACGTTTTTATTAGATAATGACTACCCATTAACTTTTATTTTTGACACAGTTAATCAACTGTGTATAAAAAATTTATTTAAAAATAAACACACAGTACGTAAAGATTTGGTTGACAGTGTCTGTGTGAATGAATCTGCATCTTGGCTTGCGGTGCCATTTATTCCTTTTCACACAGAGAAATTTAAACGGTTCGACAAAAATGACATCAAGATATCTTTTCATAGTCCTAATAAAATGAGTAAATATATTTAAGTACAAAAGGATATTTGTTCCCATATATCTAAGAGTAATGTAGTTTATAAGATTTCGTGTAATAATTGTGATGCGTCGTACGTTGAACAGACGGGCAGACAATTGAAAACGTTGAACAGAATTACAGAACATCATATTAATCATATTAGGCATAACACTTCTGTCCGTTCTGTCATAACGGAGCACAGGCTGCAGTATGATCATGATTTCCAATGGGATAATGTTAAAATTTTGATGAAGAAAAGCCTTGCTATAGGAAACGTTTAATTTCTGAAATACTCAATATTAAAAAGCAGATAAATAGTTTAAATTTACAAACTGACACTGAAGGTCTTCATAAGGCATATATACCTATTGTAAATAAAGTTTGATTCTTCGATACTGAAATTCCGTCTCTTCTCTCAGTCCGTGTTGATCCGTATCAGCGAGCGTACATTATAATTGACATACAATGTCCATCTTACACATCTGCGTTCCATTAAACTCTGTACA